ATGACGGCGCCGGCTCTGATGCCGCCGGCGAACAGAGTGCAGTCGGTCCGGGCTCCGGCCAGTAGGTCTATTTGTTTCTTGAATACGTGTTTTTACTTTCCTAATGTTATATATAAATTATAACTATAGCAGTAAACTAGTTTTTATATTTTTGTTGGAAGGATCATGGAAACAAATCTATATGTGTATGTGATATCATTTCGTGATTTTGCTATATCTGTATGTGATACCAGTCTGATTTAAGCATGTTATCTATATGTGTATGTGATACCAGCTATTATGCTTAATGCCATAAGAAAATATCTGGAAATGCAGTTTTAACAGTTTCAACTTTGAATCAGTTGGGTGACTCAACTCAAGGCAAAAGAAGCCTTGGAAAGTTTTGATAATAGTTTTAGGAAAGAGGACTGAGTATGAAACAGTTGAATCCAAGCACAGGAAGAGGGAACTTGATCTACCATTTTGAGAATTGTGTTTTCATGTTTGTGTAAATCCGAAAGATTAAGAAAATCTGTAAAACATGCTTTTGTTTTCATTCTAATCCACCAAAGCACATTTTCTTAGAAAAGCAAGTAAAGATGCACATAACAGAAATGTCAAACAATAGACATAGAGAAAGAGAAACTGAGTTTTAAAAGATAAGACATAAATTGGTAGAAGAACATCTTTCCATTTCACACGTCCCAGCAACATAAATCAGATGAGAAAAATCATGGAAACGAATGAATTAACAACTCACTTCTAATTAGTCTAAAAACTACAGCATATAAAACCACCTCTCAAGAACTCTACAAATAATGACAGCTGAGAAACAAAAAGGTAATAGTATAATAAATTCACAAGGCTTATTAGTTAGTAATACTACTATGTACTTTGCAATTGTAATACTAAAATTAGATCTATTCCAATAAATGTTTCCTGATCAACTGTAATTTCGTGTGATCATCCATAAAAACGGGTTGAACCCGTTAAAAGGGAATTACCCATATTCTTATTATTTTTTTAATTTTAAACACTTGTCAGCATGGGAGAAGGCCACGTCAACATGCAAGCATTACTCTTTCTGCTTCAGATCTGTTGGGGAAATGAATGGTGCCAGCCAAGCAAGCTCTCCAAAACATTGGAATCAGAAGCAATATTCTCTAGGGTTAACGATTTCTTTGACTTTTGTCAAAGGTATTTCTGTCATTCCACTGCCACTGTGTGTGGGGTCCTAACTCTGCAGTGCTTTACCGTTTCAGAAAATTATTATCATTATTTTTTTCTTGACACATTTTTTGCACACGGATCTATTGTGCGCATCCATTTCATTTTTTCTTTTAATTGGATTTATTCTAACGTGCTGCCTTAGTACTACTATTACATTATATAGTTGTTATTACTGTTCCATTTTATACTTCTTTAAATATATGCACCTTTTCCGTGATGGTATGGCTCCTCAATCCATTTACTTTCACCATTGGAACCTGAGGAAACTGTGAGCCCATTGTTTGTGCCATGGTTTTCTGGATCATTATCTGTCTCGTGAACGGTATAACTTCTACTTTTTTATACCAACTTTTGAAGTATTGTTGCAGTGGTTTCTTGAGATACCTGTTTGTTAAATGTGATATAAATACTTGTTATACATGAGTTGGCCTATGCCAACATGTGAATCATGTTTGGAAAGTAAACCAAGAGGCCTCACACAGCTAAGGGAGAAGTTTTTTCTTGTCAAATCCAAATAATCTCTCCCATAAAGTTTTCTTTATCAAACAATAGGAAAATTCCCTAGCATTGATTTGCAGCTCGCTATCTTTTAGCAAACTAGCCACCAAAATTAGATCCAAAAGAAATGACGCAGACGGGAAGATATATTTGGAGAGGATCCTCTCAAATAATCCAAGGAGGAAAAACGATCCTTAAATATTCCATCTTTTTCAAATGCTTAAGAATCCTTAAGGAGGCTGTTCTTTTGCTCTATAAATATTTGTATGTAAAACTCCCATTGTTTGAAATGAAGAAATGTAGCCTTGTAAAGTACACATGGTCTCAGACTATGAAGCACTGACATGGCAAACCATGGTGCCATATCAGTGTCGGACACGTGTCCGACATGCTGTAAACGTGTTCAATCCTTTTATCTCTTTTCTTCCGATCGGACACGCCGTTGGAAGCTGCAAAACGCCGGAGGATACGTCAGTGGACACGGCTACGCTATTCTGACTTAGGAGGTATTTTTGGACAGAGGATGTAGACACGATATACATACATATATGTTTGTGATATATATGGCTGTGTATATCTCTGCGTGTATCGATTTAAACAGGCGTGTGTATGACTGTGTATTGATTTAAATAGGCGTCTAAAGTTGAAATAAGAGAGATGATAGCAATGAGAGAGCAACGGCAGAGAGAGAAAAGATTATAATCTTTTCTCTTGTACGCTTTGTTTGGCTATAAGAAAAGGGCTCAGTGACTTTGGTCTCTTTTACATTTGTTTGGCTACAAGAATAAAGTTGGCTGGCTTTTGGATATTAAGTTACTGCTTTGTATTTCAATGAAATCCTTAATTTGTTTGGAAAGAAATATAAAATGTGGTGGGTTGAATTTAAATGTATTATATTTATGACAAAAAATTAATTTTACATATATAATAATAAATTATATTATTATTTTATTGTTGTATCCTTGCCGTGTCCATGTCCTATGTTTTTTGAGATTTGCCGTATCGCCATGTCCATGCTTCATACGTCTCAGAGCTCTTGGAATATGAAAGTATTTAAGGTTCAGTTAAGAATACTAGGCTTCTCTCCATCGTGGCATGGAAGGGGGAAGTTGGTGTGGAAGCTTTATATTGTTCAATGGTGTTTGTTATGGATAATCTTGTTAAAAATGATATAATCATTAGATATAAGTTTTAGACACTCTCTTTGGTTAAAGCACCAAATACAGATTTCCTTTCATGTCATTATAAATGCATAATTATAATTCCTAACTTTCTTTGTATCATGTTTACTGGTTTACACACACTATTTTACAAGCTGCGTTTTGGTATGGGCGTCTTGTCCATTTTAGAATCTATCCTATAATCTATGCTCTTCCTATCACCTTAGTTCTTGATCCTTGCCACTCAATCTATTCAGAAGCCTGTCCTTATGGATTGGAATTCTTGTAAAGTTAAGTCAGCCCAGAGTCTTCAGTGGCATGGGAGTCACTGTCCATGCCATTTATTGTTGCTTTGAAAAACATGTTTTCAAGAGAGAGAATTATGTCGGCTGTGGCTGTCTTTTGTACTGGGTTTTTCTTCTATCAATATAATTTGGAATTCTTGCATGAGGCTCTGCTATTCCACCTTACCCGTTCAGATCCAAGACAAATTTTCCATATATTTTTATCACATCTATCTACGCTACAACCATGAGTTTCCAATCTCAGAGAAACTCATGTTTTCTGCCTCAACTTATTGTTCAGCTAGTTCTTATTCTCCGCTTCACTCAGGATTTGCCATTCTGTTTCTTTGTGCAGACGGTAGCATTTCTAGCATTTAACAAGGTATGTGAATTCAACACTCTGCCTTGTACTATCACTGAAATTGAAATCTCTTTTTGCCTTATTATTTTAGTTCTAATTAAAAATGAAAATCGGACTATCGAGTCTTGTTACGTGAAATATCACTCTCATCTGCTTCCAGAAGTAATTTTGTTTCTGAAATTATGGGCTCATACTTTGGATAGGGAATTTCTGATATTTTCTTTTGATATTCACAGTGCAGTACTTTGTATGGTTCTTCTGCCTGTTACCTTTAATACTACCATGGTGCAATATGAAGCATAAATGGGAAGGCTTCTTGTACATTTTACTACGGATGGGAGCTCAAATTCACTGGTTGAATTCAAAGGCAAGCAAGTTTAATTTTCTTAACTACTACAGTAATACATTTGTTCTCATCGGTATTGTCCGTCATCACACTTATCGTTATTCGAACCACATGCAAGTTCGAAGAAAACTTTGAAACATGAATTATATATATATAGATATCTTTCTCCATAGGTAGCTACGGAGTACCATGATGAAATCTTAATGTATGTTCTTGTGAATTGAATTTGACAAAATATATAATGGGTGTGTGATTTTTGGTTTTTGCATGAATAAAAGTTTGGAACTCGGAATTGTAGGGCTTAACCCAAGAAGGGAGCCCTTCCAAAAATTCTCGATAGCCCAGGCGGAACCCAAGCCAAAGAGAGCGATAAAAAAAGGAAATAGTTTTCAACCAGCAATTGACGCGCCTCGGTTAAAACCTCACGGGCTGCGTCATTGCCCCAAGCGCAATGATGTTTTTTATAAATCTTCCAGTGTGGTGTTTTTATAGTTATAATTTTTTTTTAAGTTCTTATACTTTTTCGATATGGGACTTGTGTTATAGTTCAAGATCATCTAACAATTATAATAAAAACACAACTACATTAACATGTATAAATTTGTGTCGGTCAATCAAATTAGAGTCCCAACAGGAATAAGATTGAATCATCTATAATATCCAATTTCATCTAGACTTCTCAGCAGAAAAGTCCTGAAATATGCAAATGGGCCGACCTGACCCAAAAGGCTACTTTGCATAACAATGTTGGTCGGGCTAGTACCAATGCATCATGCACCTAATAAAAGGACCTACCAGGCCCACAACCACGTTACTTCCATTTGTATCGAACGTGTCAATAGATGGCCCAGGTCCATTATTCGTGTTCCTTTTATTTAAGTCAATTGTACTTTATGATCCCTATGGTTGGTGTAATGAAAAAATGATAGATAGGGTGACGTTTTTTTTTTTTTTTTTTAATTTTTTTAAATTTTTTTTTTTTTTTTTTTGTAAAGGAGAAGAATTTTTGTATCTTTTTACCCTCTTATATAAAATTTTAAATAAAAAAAACAATTTTTTTTCAGGAATTTTGTGATTTTTAGGTGAAAATTTAGTTGGTGTGTGTTTTTCCTTGAATTAAAGTTTAGAACTCAGAATTGTAGAGCTTTACCCAAAAAGGAAGCCCTTTCAAAAATTCTCAATAGCCGAGCGAAACCAAGCCAAAGAGATCAATAAAGAGGGAAATAGTTTTCAACCAGCAATTGACACGCCTCGGTTAAGACCTCACAAGCTGCGTCATTGTCCCCAGCGCAATGATGTTTTTTTTTATGTTGTGCATGTAGTATTTTTATAGAAATAATTTTCTCATCACTTCTTACACTTTTTGGACATGGGACCTATATTACATAACTGGTACCACTAGACTTTTATGCAGTTATAAATCACCAAACAAGTACAATTACAGTAACATGTGGTAATTGCCTCGGTCAATCAAATTAGAATCCCAAACATGATATAATAAAATTGAATCATCCAATTTCATCAGCAGAAATTAATTAGATGCTATTGATCTGTTTCAAATATATTGGTCCTAGGAGGAAACTTTTACTGTTCGGAGGGCTACTTTTGTAATTCATCCAAATGGGCCGAGCTGACCCAAAAGGCTACTTATTTTTACTACTATGCATAATAACAATGTTGGTTGCGTTAGAATTTAGAACACATTAAAATCAAACTCACCCTACGTTTAAAAGTACTTTCAAAGAGAAATTGTATAAAGTGTTTTCAATTTATAAAAAAAAAAAAAAAAAAAATCAAATGCTAGGAATATATTTATCATTTATGTTAAGAAAATAAAAAAAAAAGTGTTTGCTTAAAAATGTATTTTACTAACATCTCTTAATTTTCTTCAATTTAAATTTTAAGAGCCTAAATTAATGTTAATGTAAATTTATATTGTCATTTATTTGATTAAGAGGATGTGATAGTACGTTTTAATTCAATAATTTAGAATTCAAGTTATCGGTACTTTTTAGATTGATAAAAAAAATATGTATACTACACTATTAAAATGAATTGATATTAATGTAATTCTTTTTTTCTCTTTCTTTTTTCCAAATATATTGAGAATATCTCCTCCATCTGGTGTATAAATTTTCTTTTGTCTCAAGAGTCTCCTTAGCTTCGCTTGACAAGTAGACTCTCAAACCAAATCTGAATCAAATGATCTGTTAACTAATCATTCAAGCCAAACAGTCCCCAATATTACTTCGTGGTCTTAAACCTTAATGTATTTGACAGGGGGGATTCTTTCCCCAAATCAGGGATGTGCATGAGTAACAGAAAGAGATGTGATGCCCATGAATAATTCTAAGAATTGACTTTATCATCAAACAGAAAAAAAATTAATGTTTTTTTTTAATAAAGTTAGTGATATTTAATATTGATGCTTTTTTCCTTTAAGTTAGTGATATTTAATTTTGTTCTCTCTTTTTTCTGTTAATCCAGAAAAATAGTGGGAAATTTATATTATGTTCTCGCTGCAGATTTACTCATGGGGTTGTTTATCCACACCATTCTGAAGCTAAGAGGGGTGTCTGAGAATATATGCACCTTTTTTGTGATGGTATGGCTCCTCAATCCATTTACCTTCACCTTTGGTACACGAGAGAACTGCGAGCCATTGTCTGTGCCATGGTTTTGTGGATCATTTTCTGTCTTGTGAATGGTATAACTTTGTGGGTGTCACTTATCGAGTGCTGATGTGGCACGTTGATAAGTCAATACAATCCTAATTAAGGTTGAAAAGTCAAAAGTTTTGCGGGACCAACCCTCAAGCACCCCAATACCTGATAGCACACCAGGCCCACCAAGCCTTGAGGGACCATCCATTGACCATCCCAAGACCTGGTAGCACCCCAGGCCTACCAAGCCTTGAGGGACCATCCTTTGAGCACCCTAAACCCTAGTATCACACTAGGCCTACCAAGCCTAGAGTACCCCAAGCCCTGGTAGCACACCAGGCCCACCAAGCCTCGGTAGCACACCAGGCCTACCAAGCCTCGAGGATCAACCCTCAAGCACCCCAAGCTCTGGTATCACACCAAACCCCCCAAGTCTCAAGCGCTAAGTCTCGAGCACCTCAAGCCCTAGTATCACACCAGGCTCACCAAGCCTTGAGAGTCAACCCTCGAGCACCACAAGTTCTGGTATCACACTAGGCCCCCAAGCCTTGAGGCCAACCCTCGAGCACCTCAAACCCTAGTATCACACCAGGCCTACCAAGCCTCAAGGGACCAAGCCTCAAGCATCCTAAGCCCTGGTATCACACCAGGCCCACCAAGCTTCGAGGGATTAGCCCTCGAGCACCTCAAGTCCTGGTATCACACCACGCCTATCAAGCTTCAAGGGATCAACCCTTTAGCACCTCAAGTCCTTGTATCGCATCAGGCTTACTAAGCCTCGAGGGACCAACCCTCGAGCACCCTAAGCTCAGGTACCACACCATGCCCGTAGCACTTCAAAAGATTGGAGCCCCAGAGAGCTCGCCATCAAAATGCCACAGGTCTATGCATAGCATGAAGCGAAGGTAAGGCCTTCGCAGCTGTAAGGGATCTAAATTTGGGAAACTTAGGAAGATCTTGAATTGGTGGATGAGAAGTCAAGAAGTGCATTCGCTTTTAGTAAGACCCAATTAACAAGATGATGGAATTATACACATTATGACAACAAACCTTAAAATCACATTTAATGTTGTGTTAGGTTCGACCAACTGGTGGTCAAGCAACATTTAATGCCCTAACTGGGGGAGAAGCAACATAGTGCAAGGCTCGATGAGGGGATTGGACCCTTCAGGCTCCTATAGACCCTTAGGACTACCCATGTGATCCTAACTGGGAGCCGTGCAAGAAACCATGCACAAATGAGACCACTGGTTAATGATCAATGAAATCTGGCCTATAAATAGCACTATCCTATGAAAGAATAAACAACTAGAAATAGGGAGTTGTCATAAGAAATTGTATACTTGCCCTACCACCATCTCAATCTTGAGGATTGGTCTTCTTCTCCTCCTCTTACACCAAGCATCTCTCTCTTTTCCCTCATAGTTGTACCTTTGATATCACCATTACTCATTTGTTTATTACATTGATCAAAAAGAACCCCTACAAACTTCTACTTCTTTGTACCAACTTTTGAAATATTGCTGGAGTGGTTTCTTGAGATGCCAGTTTATTATTAACCAGAATTGATTCCCTAGCATTGATTTACCACTCTCGATCTTTAACAAATTAGCCGCCAAAGTTAGATCCAAAAGAAATGACATAGATTGGAGTTATATTAAGAGAGAACCCTCGATCTCAAAGAGTCCAAGGAGGAAAAATTATCCTTGAATGGATTATTTTGTTCAAATGCTTAAACATCCTTAATATGGAGGAAAAATTATCCTTGAATGGATTATTTTGTTCAAATGCTTAAACATCCTCAAACATCTCAAAGAGGCTAGTACTAACAAGAATATTGTCGAAGTAACAAGAATATTGCAAAAGAATTCTCATTGAAAGACTTCTCCTTTGTGATACTGAGACGTGAAGCTTTAGATACAAGTTTTAGACTCTCTCTTTGGTTAAAGCACAAATACAGATTTCTTTTCGTGTCATTATAAATATATTATTTTAATTCCTTTCTTTATGTTGTATTTTGTGGTTTACAGGTAATAATTTACAAGCTGTATTTTGGTATGAGCTTCTTGTCCATTTATGTTGTATCTTAGTTCTTGATCCGCGCCACTTCCAATCTATCAGAAGCCTATCCTTGTGAATTGGAGTTCTATATGGTGTTTTTATCTTCTAACACTTTTTCGATGTGGGACTTATGTTACATAGCTGTTACCAAGTCCAATTACATTAACAAGTCGGTCAACCAACTTAGAATCGAGGCATAATAAATTTGAATCATCCATAATCGCCCATTTCATTTAGACTTCTCAGCAGAAAAGTCCTAGACTATTATTGATCTGGTTCAAATATTTTGGTCCTAGGAGGAAACTTTTCATGTCCGGAGTGCTGCTTTTGTAGCGTAATACATTCAAATGGGCCAAGCTGACCCAAATTGCATCATGCATTAAATGTCATTGTCAATAGATGGCCCAGGGTCCATTACTCTCACTTTCAATTTTAAAGTGCCAATTTCGTACTTTCAATTTGTAATCTGTGACAATTTTTGATCCAATGACTGAAAATTCAAGGTAATGGTCCTAGTTCCCAAGGAGTAAATTGCACAGTATAAATTGTGAAGGTGTGACTCCAGGAAAATTATTTGCAACAACGTGAGTTCAGTTGCTCGAGAAATTGAAGACGAGACTGTGACTCAAAGACACACTCGCCTCTACTTATAGCCCTACCTATCTAGCCTACAGCCCAACCTCTCCCGCTTATAGCCCAACATCGCCGGCTTGTAGCCCCGGCCACCTCTCCCCGTTACAGTCCCACTTCACCAAGCTACCGTCCTGCATCTCCAAGTTACATTCCCTTGGCTGTCACTTTTTGGTTAATATGCTGAACTTATCGAAGGTCTGACAAAGTAGTAGTAGTAGTGGTGGTGGTGGTGGTTATTATTATTTAATGTGCTGGATGTGAACTACAAACTTATTGAAGTTGATTGTATCAGTTGGTCCTTGTTAAGATATATATATATATATATATATATATATATATATATATATATATATTTTCTCCTCTTTAAGCATTTGATGTAACAAGGATTAGAAGAGCAACTCAAATTCATTTTCATAATAAGAGGCCTCGAATTGAATAGAGGCCTCTTCATGTTTGAGGAGCTCAAATCTGAGTCGCAAGGCACGTGCCTGTGCAACAAAATGATGTCACGTGACCCTCTCTAAACAGTAAGCCAGAGGGGGGATTTACTTCCAAACTGATCATAGAAATTGATTTTGGGCGTGAAAAGTCAATACTCACCGATGTTAGAATAGTAACAACATTGCATTTTATAAAATTTGGTGAAAAGATGTGCCGAGAAAAATATAATAAACAGTTTATATAATTTACTCTATTATTTAAGAAAAAAACAAAAATAATATTTCACTTGGGTAGTTATGGAATCCCGGTAAGTGTATGTATACATGGGGTAAATTACAAAAAAAAAAAAAAAAAAAAAAATCTTGAATTATGTCTGAATTTACAAATAACCCATTGAAGTATATTTTGTGTATATTATCCCCTACACTATTCAATTCTTAAGTTATTTTTCATTAAATGACAAAGATAACTTTTTTTTATTAAATGACACTTAATCTAT